TTATGTCTTTTTATGTATTTATGTATAAATCTACATAGATTTATAACTTTTATACATTTGTGTTTTCAATCATGTAGAAGATAAAGAAGTGAAGTTAGAAAATAAGTAATAATAACAATACTGATTTATGTATTTTCCATATAATTACTTTTACTGGAGAACTTTACATTTTCATATGGCTTCAAAGTGCATCTAGCAACCTTGCATTTCAACCTAAAATGCTTCCTTTAGTATTTCTTATAGCGATGCGATAATGGTAATGAAATCTCTCCACTTTTATATTTTTAAGAATGTCTTAAATTCTCTCTCACTTTTAAAGACAGTTTTGCAAGATATAAAATTCTTCTCTTTCCAGTATTATAAATATCCCACTGGCTTCTGGCTTGCAAGATTTCTTCAGCTTGGTGGAGAAATCCACTGACACATTTATTTGGAGTCCTTCGTATATGATAAGTTGTTTTTGTCTTGCTACTTTCAAGAGTCCTCTTTGTTGTTTGATAGCTTCATAATAATATATCTTGGTATGAGTTTCTTTGGGCTTACTAGCAGTTCATTGAACCCCTTGAGTTTCTAGATCTATGACAGCTTAAATTTGTGAAGTTTTTAGCCACTATTTGTTCAAGCTCTCTTCCCCTTTCTTGTCTCTTCTCTTTCTTGAATTCTCATAATACATGTATTTTTTCTGATTGATGATCTTCTGCAAGTTCTCTGTCCATGTTTCTTTTTTCCTTTTACTCCTCATGATAATTTCAGTTGGGTTTCTGGGATCTTGACTATATTATATGTAAGTGTAGATTTTTTTTGATCATGGCTAGTTGGAGTTCTATATGCCTCACTTATCTGTATGTCCAATTCTCTACCTCTGTCTGGGGAGTTTTCTACTATTACTTCTGTGAACATTTTTTTATGTCTATTGTACTTTCTCCTGCTTTTTCATGGACTCCTATCAGTCTTATGTTATTCTTCCTTGCATCATCTAAGAGCTGCTGGATTGATTTCTTGTGGTCCCTTACTATTTTTAAGAAATCTGTTTTCATGGTCTCTAACTGCAATTCTGTCTTCCATATCTGATATTCTATCTTTACATTCCCTTAATCTGCTGTGAATATTTTCAATGGAGTTTTTAATCTCCTGGATATCTGCTTGAATCTCTCTCATGGATTCCATTTCTTTCTTATGTTGGGCAATGATGGTTTCCATTTCTTTCTTAAGCTGGGCATTCATGGCTTCCAGCATGGTTCTGAGCTCATCTACTTTTTAATGTTTCTGTTCTAGAGCCTCTAATCATGTCTTTCACTCTGCTCATCATCTCTGTAGTTATCTGGGAGATTATTTCTGCTTTGAATTTTTCTAGAGCCTCATTCATCTGTTTTGTTACTTCCTGTGCTATCAGTTCAGGGTGTCCAGGTGGTTGATTATCAGACTTTTCCACCTTGTTTCCCCCAGAATTTGCCTTTTGGTGGGGTGGAAGTCTGAGTTTGTGCCTTGCTTAAATGTCTTCTCATTTTTGTTTTTGGTACTGTCCTTGGTTTAATTCCTGGGTTGATACTTCAAAATTGCTTATGGTAAGTATCTTTGTTGATTGTGTTTAGAACCCTTGTGGAATGATTACTTTTCAGAGGTGTCTTCCAGATATAGCTGCTCTTTAGGTTTTGAGTCTCTAATGGCTCTGAGGCTAACTCATTTTCATTTTACCAGGAAGGTAATCACAACACCTTGCCCCAAATGATACAATCAGCAATACCATAGCATCAAGCACAGCTTAGAAAATAACAATTTGTGGTAGTTATTAATCTATCATCTTTAACTGTGTGAATTAAATCAAAATCGAGGACCAGCCCAACATATGTTTATAGTGAATAAACTCTTCAATATAGCAACTTTACCCTATGGGATGGGGAGTTAGAAGGAGTTGGGGAGGGAGGGATAGGTAGAAGGATAGGGAAAGGTTAGCAGTGAAGACAGAGGAAGATCACACAAACTCTAGGAAACTGTTGAAGACAAGAGGAAAAGACAGAATGAATGAACAAAGATGAGAACAGAACAATCTAATAGCAATAGGGAGGCTAGATATTATATTTACTTTCCTATTAAAACTAATGATAATTGAGAGAAGGAAAAGAGAAGAAAAGAAAACTAACATCGAAGGTATGTGAAATATTTTAATAACTTTGGGAAATAAAATGTTGGCCACTCAAGGATTGATGTTCAGTCATTTTATTGACATTTTATTATTTTAATGCCTGTAAATTGAAAAACCAACAGTTAATTTCTAATAGTTAATATCTGAGAAATGAAACTTGTGTTCAATAACATTACTGTTTGAAAGGCAGTATTTCATGTAATGAATGTTTCTGCTGGTTGAAAACTTCTATTTCAGACATTTAACAAGGCATAATTGGTCTTTGGGTCTAAAATTTGTATTATATAGATGACATAAAGGCTTATTTGAATGACTCAGGCAGATAGATGTGAGAAGCAGTTATTTTGTCGCTGATTATGAAATTGTTAAAGAGGATCATTATTACTGATTACCTCTTTGCATTTTGGATCAAAGGCATAAATTTCATAAAGATTAAGTGTTCTAAGAACCATTCAGAAGTGTCTCTTTATATATTGATATAATTTTTAGAAGACATCCATACCCATTTACTAGATGATATGCCCTTAAGTATAATTAATCAGAATATGATCCTTAGTTTGCTTTAGATTTTCAGATTCCTTTCAATTCTCCATAATCTTTCTGTCTCCTACTTAAAAATCTCTCATTTGAAGAACCATATTTATTCATTCATTCAACATCAATGTTCCATACACAGCAATAAGCATTATTAGATTTGAAAGTGAACACGACAAATAAGGTCTCTGCTGTCAGAATTACCAATAAGCAAATATATGCTCATTTAACTAATATTTGTGATTGTGCTAGCCATAATATGTGCTAGCCATAATTCTGGGAATTGTGGATATAGTAGTAGTGCAAACAAAAGTCTGCACCCTTGCATAGCTTACACAAACATGGGAGAATAACGTTAAGTGGGAAGGCTCACTTTAGGAAGATTGGTCAGGAAAAGCTTAAGAAAGTCATGGCTGAGCTGAAAATCAAATGATGTGAAGGAAGAACTAAAGGACTAATTGAGGCCAAGTAGCAGTTAGTACCAGGGATAGGAGTGGACTCACTATGCTTCATGCACAATGATTTGTAGTTTTTGAAGTGAGATGATTAAGAAATTTATTACCGCATCCATTTTTCAGTTACTAATGAAATGAAGTCATCAGTTGTGAAGTTTTATGGGAAGGAGTGGTCAACAAAGAAGGAAAATTTGAGAAAATATTTTGAGGAGAGACAATGTGAAGTAGTAACTCCAGAGAAAGGGGATTGTGAAGCCAGGGAAATGCAGTGAACTCTCTAGTGTTGAGGGTCCGCATGTGGCTTGTTAGTCAACATGGTTGAATGGGTTTTTCTGTCTACAGGCACAGGTGTGAGGAAAGTAGTTTAACAAGACTTTGTCTTGTCCCTGAGAGGGTGCAGTGGAGAATGAGAGAAGGAAGGATGATTGCAGTCATGCCAACTGTGAGATCAATTCTGGGGAAGGGAAAAAGAATCGGGAGTGAAGACAGGAGAGGGCTGGACTCCAGTCAAGTGGGCATGGGTTGGTCCTGTAGGGGAGGTTAAAAGTTGTTAACGTGGTCACACAAGTAAATTTCACACCTTGACATAATGGAATTTTAATAGATTAATAGATAACTAATTAATAGATATGTTTCTGTCCATACAAACCCAACTGCAATCAAATTTTTTAATATTTAAAACAGTGTGTGTTTGTATAACTGACAAAAGATAAGGGTTACTGAAAGCGTGGAAAGTACTTTTTTTAGCCCTCTTGTGTAATTGTATAGAAATAATTGAATAGAATAAAAGAAAAACATGGAAAGCTAAGAGCATTACTTGGAATGAAACCTGGGATCTTTGATTATCTATAACCTCCAGTGTGAAGTCATTTGACATTATTGACCATATTCCCTTAATTTATTGATTAATTAACTAATTATTTCACCAGTGTACAAGGTCCCAGGCATACGGTAATCATATTAGGTATCACCTATGTAAATAATATCTGATATCATAAATCATATCTGATATCATTATTGTATTTGTCATGATATCAGATGTTGATATTATTGATAACAATGGCAGTAAATATCCTTACTTACTTGTTTTAGTTAACTAGTTAATAATCATTTCAGCACCCTGCCAGGAGGTGAGCATATGGGAAAAATGTCAGAGAGCAGTATAGAGTGGTTTTGGAGCACACAGACACTTAAGCTGATACCCTAAAGATAAGCGGGATTGGAGTTTAGTGAGGACGCCAAAGGCCGAAGTGGAGGGGATGGTGTACATATCAAGACCCCCAGCAAGAAAGAAATGATGGATGGGTCCAGAGGGGCTGCGTCCCGTGTGTGAGAGAAGACTGCTAGGGAATGACGCTAGGAAACTAAGCGGGGCCATGTTTTAAAGGACTTGGCAGGATGTGGTAAGAAAATTTTACCTTAAAAGCAGTAAAAGGACCCATTATTGGGTATTACACAGAGCTTTAGCATAAAACACTATCACTTAGTAAGTGTAAGGTTAACTTATGTGAAAACATTGAATTTTGTTTTCCTTAAGGTTATTGTAAGATTCTTCAATTCATTGTAATCTCTGTGTTTAAAGAAGTAAATTAAAATGACATGTCTTTTAATTTGAAAAGAATTAATAGCAATTAATAAGAGATTATATTAAACATAGAAATAAACCCCTGCTTTGAAACATCATTAAACTGATATTAACCCATTTGCAAGGAAGAAATTAAATTTTTCTGTGACTCTAAAGTACCTTTAGTTGTTGTTGCATATTTTCTATTATATTAATAAAAATATTAGGTAATTTCCCATGAGTCTATGTGTGCCATTTAATGTCCCTAATCAAATACAGATGAAATGATACTTTTTCTCTCCAGTGATTTAAGTCTTTGAGATGTTCCCATTAACTGGAAAGACAATCATCTTTGATCATTTTCCTGATCCTTCTGATACATGGGAAATAACTGAAACAATTGGCAAAGGAACTTACGGGAGAGTTTTTAAAGTACTGAATAAGAAAAATGGCCAAAAAGCAGCAGTCAAAATTCTGGATCCAGTTCACGTAAGCCACTGTTTTTGCCCTAATTAACTCTATTTTTGTCTGTATTAAACAGTTTCAAAGTTTGTAAGCATATTATATTTTTTTTATTACAGTCTCTTTCTAATACAAGTTACAATTTGAAAAAATGTTAAAGTCTACTTGTTTGATTTTCTTAATGTGCTTTATGTAAAAAGACACAGTAAGTATTTCATAAAAAGTGACATATGCATAATCACATAAATAAATGCATGTCTTAGTAGCTCAGTGGTTCATTCAATACTATTTTAGAATCTCAAAAAATTGTAAAAATATAAACTCATAGTCAAGAAATAACCATAAATGTCATCCTCCCCAGATTTCCTTTTCTTCCCACATTTACGCTTCTGGTAGAATTTCTCTTAAGCTAAAGAGAAGAGGTTTTTTTAAAAAAACAAAAAAAAACAAAACTAAACTAAACTAAATTTCTTTCAGAGAAGGGAGATTCATTTTCAGGCTTACTTAATATTTCCAGGGCTGAAATGACGGTGCTTTGTAAGAGCAGGGGGTTCCTAACTGTGAAGAGCTGAATTTCCCGTTCAGCCCTGGACTCTGCTCAAGTGAGGCTCCAGCTGTGGTCCCCCCACTTTCAGGGGGTTGCGCTGAAGGAAAGCGCCACGCCTTTTCCTGTTGTTAGTGCCGCCAGGCCACTGTGAGTGCTTTGCTTGGTGGGAATGCTTCTGGCTCTTGTGCGCGCGGTGCTGTTGAAGACTTCTGTGGGAGGGAGCTGGCTGCTCAGGCTGCTGGGAGATCCCAGTTCTCCCAACCACCTGAGATTGGATGAGCTTGGTACCTGCACGCTCCCCGTGTCTAGTGAGAGCACGTCCTCCACTCCGAGACTCTTGCACTGGTGGTGGCAGGAGGGAAATGATGAAAGATGGGCAGGGGCGTCCGAGCCACGGTCCTTAGGGTAACTCACCCACCAGCCACAACCTGCAAAAGGTCCGTGGTCCTTCCGTTGTTCATCTTCAGGTTGCTCTGTTTTGATCGTTTATTTCTGCTAACCCTGTTATAATTTCACTGTCCATATTATTTTGAGCAGAGGAGCAAGGAAGGGAAGTTCATTTTGAAGTAATAAACCTGGGTTCAGTCACCAAACACACACACACACACACACAATGGCAACCCATTCTGCTTCTGGTGAGTGGGCGTTAGTTAGCTAAAAGTTATAGTCCATGTTTTATTTCCCTTTTTTTGAAAAGTATGGATGTATTGCTTGTATGACTAGATTTTTTTATAGCTTCTAAATATCTGGTGTTTCAAAGAAACAGAATAAACCAACTTTCTAGTCTTCAATGTTTTTATTTCAAGTCAAGGCTTTGTCATTGTAACCAAGTTACTAATACAGTGAAAGCAGCACCTGCATATTGAAAGCAAAATTCAGTTCCATTTAAAAATAGCCTTTTATTTTTTCCTTTAAAATTTCAATTAAATTAATATGACTTGAGATGCATTTGATTAGCACAAAAATCTCTCTCTGTAATGTAAAGAGAAATTCCAGTGCACAGTAAAGGTGATAAAAACTATTACAACTATGGCCTAATAAATAATAATAAATTAGGCCCTAATAAATTGCCTAATAACATATTTCTTGGATTGTGTTTCCATTATGTGTCATATGACTGTATCGAAATTTAAATTAGGGAGAAGCTTGGCTTATGTGGAGTCTGCTAGTTAACTGGAGTTTTTTTCCAGACCACTATTTGTTCAGTGTTGGTTTGGGGGAACTTTCTGAAACAAATCACCTCTGATGTCTTGTTGGTGCTTGAGATGCTTTTTTAAATTATATGGAAAAATGTTTAAGTGCTTTTCAGTTTTGTTTTGGTTGCGTTCTACTGTATTTGAATATTATTGTAGTTTTTTTCCCCTTGCATTGTTCTTCTTTGAATGGTTTTAATTTTTTGTATGTGTGTGTTTGATAATAAAGTTATTTAAAAAAAACTATTACAACTGTGCTTTAACAAAATTAAATTTTGTTTGACAGTCTAATATGTTTACTTGACATTACTAATAATTTTCTCACAGTTCCCTTATGATTTTTTGAAACTAGGATATTGATGCAGAGATTGAAGCAGAGTATAACATTCTAAAAGCACTTTCTGACCACCCTAATGTGGTCAAATTCTATGGGATTTACTTTAAGAAGGATCAAATAAATGGAGATAAGCTGTGGCTGGTTCTTGAGGTAAGCATTTCAGCATTTCTTGTGTGAGTAGAAATTTGAAGTGTGATCCTGGAATGGCTAAATGTTTATGTAACATCGGCACCGTAAAATACTTCTCCTCCGTAGAATGTTGTGTCCAGTTATAGCTTTGTCATCTTAACGTGTACACTAGGAAATTTAAAATCTACAAATACTACTAATGATTAAAAGGAAATGAGTCCACAATGAAAAAGAAATGAAGAGACAGACTATTTTTCCAACAGGAAAATTTTAAAAAGAATTATCAAAAGGATTTTATTATCATGTTTACTTATTTGTTTATATTTTGTTCAGCTAACATCTGACTGAAGGTCTGGCCCAGGTGCCAGTGTATAAGAGAAAATTACTGTTAAGTGAGACTTCATTAGACAAAAATAGCTGCAATCTTTTTTTCTGTCTTTATTGAATGTTAATGACTTAAACTACAGAATAAGGCATTTATATTTACGGGGAGGAAAATTTACTAGAAATGGCATTGATACTGAATAAGTTGCCAAAGGGAAGCTATGGAGTCTGCCTTTCCAAGTCCTGAGAGTCAATTCTAGTGTTTGCCTATCTTCTGCAAGGAGGGGGTGCTAAGTTCCCCAGCAAGGTGACACCAGTCTTGGTCTTGGGAGAATTCCATTTTCTGGAAGGCTCCAGCAGGTTCGGTTGTCTGGTGAGAGTTGCTTTCTCCTTCAGGATGGAGCTGGGGGCTCCCATGGCAGAAGTGAGGCCTTTTGTGCAAAGGCTTTGATCTTGTTCACTCTAAGGACGCATGCTCATGGCCCAGTCTCGCTCTTTTTTTTTTTTTTTTTTTTTTTTTGGTACCAGGGATCAAACTTAGGACCTTGTGCTTTTGAGGCAGGCAGTGGAACCACTGAGCTAAATCCCTGGTTCCCAGTCTCTTTTAATGCCGCCACACTTTATTACCATCTCACTGGGCATGAAGTTTCAGAGCCAGAATTTTAGGGGGGACACATTCAAACCATAACAAACATAATATATATAAATTTTATCATTTTCCTACTTTATATTTTTCTACTATAGTTTTAAAATGATTCTACAAATTATCATTGTAGAAAATATTTGAAACTATGAAAACATCATTCTTAACATTTACCTCATCTTTGTAGAGTTAAAATGGATGACAGTATTACTCATGAAATTATCCTATTTTTTCAGCTACTACAATTTGAAATAATACCTGATAACCTTTTTCTTTTCCAATGGAAGTAATTTGACTTGGTTAATAAAAGGTAGAGTTAACATGGATGGAACTGGAGATCGTTGTGTTAGATGAAATAATGCAGGCACAGAAAGACAGGTCCTGTGTGATCTCCCTCATACATGGAATGTAGGAAAGTCATCTCTGCAGAAGCTGAGAATAGGATCATTACCTGAGGCTGGGGAAGTAGGGAGGAAGGATGGATGGGGAAAGATTGATAGATGGGTACCAGGTGCAGACATGAATACATCATTCTTCTTGGTTTTGTACAGTATCATTGATTATGGAGAGCACTTATCTATGTACATCTCAAAATTCCAGAAGAAAGGATTTTGGATGTTTCACCATAAAGAAGTTTTAAAAGTTTCAGGAGATAGCTATGTTTACACTGACTTAAACATTGTATCACATATTCATGTTTTGAAACATCATGGGGTATCACATTAATATGTTCAGTTTTTAAGCATTCATTAAAATAAATTTAATTTTAAGAGGAAGGTAGGTGTGATGGTGCACACCTGTAGATCCAGGTACCTAGAAGCTGAGACAAGGAGGATGGCTGGAGCTGGGTTAAGGCCATTCCTGGTAACACAGAGAGTCCCTGTCTCAAAAAGCACAAACAGCAACAAGGAAAAAGCAGGCAGTACGAAAGGGTCAGATATAAAGTAGTAAAAATGTAGATCAAGTTCACAGTGCCGCCTTCTCCTGAACAGGTGTACTTTTGATATGTTGAGATTGCAGTACCTGGAAAAGTATAGCTGGGACTCTACTCCCTCATTGAATGATCTATGTTCTTAATTTTGATGGAATTGTCAATTGTACTTCCGGGATCGTAGGTCCATCTGTTCCAGTCTGTGGATCTTCCATGAATCTGACCTCTGACATCTCTATTTCTCACCTGAGTGGAGTCCACTATGTCCTGGATCCCATGGTCTCTTCTTTGACAGTTTACTCGTCTGTGTTGCCCTTCATGTAACAGTATGTGCCTGATTCCCATTACCCACTCTGCTGTTGAGTACTTCCAGTTCCACTTCTGTGGGGAGCCTCCAGTCACTTACCTGGCAGGGTCAGGACATTGACATTCTGTAAGTGCAATAGAAAAGAGGGTGTCAAGTCTTTGGCTGAGAGACTTCCAAATTATCCATTGCTGTCTGCTCCTTACCAGCCATGCATTCACCTCCACTGTCTTGGTTCACCTGCTCAGTTTTTCCACCAAGAGCTTCGTCAAGTACTTCTGCTTGTGACTCCTTCTGCTTTACTAAATCAGTTACCACTTGCTCATCTGCTTCCATATTATAAAATTTTACTGAAATCTTTTGTCTATTGCTCTTTTTTTCTTTGTGGTTTATACTTTTCACTCATTTTCTAGCATTTAATGGAGATTGATGAGTGAGAAAAAATAAATTTATGTGTTATCTGCAACTATTAATTGTATTATAAGGAGTCTTCCAAAATGTAAAATAGTATTTTCAAGAAGCTTTTCATCACCTGAAGCTGAATATTTTCAAAGTTTAAAAGTTATGATTTTTTTTATCGGTTATTTGGAGAGCATGGCTGACACCCATAACTTAAAGAGAAGAGGTTTGTTTTGACTCACAGTCTCAGAGGAATCAGTGCATAGCTAGCTGGCTCCAAGGCAGAAATGGCATGGTGCGAGGGCAGGCAGAAGAAAGCTCCTCAACATTGGAAGCTAGGAAGCAGAGAAGGAGGAGACTCCGAGCCAGACATACACCCTCAGAGCCGCACTCCCACTGAACTGCCTCCTCCCCTGAGCCCCATATTTGAACAGCATATTCAGCTGTCACCTCCTTAAAGGTGGCTTAATCCACCGATGACCATCATACAATCACCTTCCAAAAGCCCCAGCTCTGAACACGGGGACGTGTGTGTGTGTGTGTGTTGGTACCAGGGATCGAACTCTGGTCCTTGCGCTTGCTCAGCAGGCAGCAAAACCACTGAGCTAAATCTCTGGCCCAGAACACAGGGACTTTGCAGATCTAAAACAACAGATTTCAAAATGATGTTGTGTTTTTCTAGTTCAAGATAGTTTTGTATTTTCAGTTATATCCCATAGTAAATAAAGCTACACTTTTTTTAAAAAACTCATCTAAATTTAATTACCCAAGTAATGGAATACAAATTATGCACTTAACCCATTTTGCCTTAAGTTAATGGAGACTTTCAAAGGTTCTCTTCATGTCGATTCTGTACATTTGAGATGATGCAAATTTTTAATGTAGTCCTGCATACAATTTTGCATATCTTTCAAAACATTTTCAATAATGCATTTAAAATTGTTCTACCATGTAGAGTAATGGGAAGATTAGCATTTAAATAGGGATTGGGGTACTTTGACTAATGTAGATCTAAATGGGTAAGAAAACAAGGTATAAATCTTTGCACAGAGTTTAAAAACTATTGAATGAGATCAGTCATTTTTTTATCCTATGAAATACCTGTTCTCATTATGTTAGCATTTCTCAGTATTAGCACTTTGAAGTAGGCGAGAGATGGACTCCTGATTATAATTAAGTATTTTTTTATTTCTTTTGGGGGGTTGTTTTTTTTTAAGGGAACAGAAAATGTTGATTAAAATAGTTTTGGAACAAGCACTACAAGTAAAGTGGTGATATAATAGAATCAGCAGAAACCTAACAGGTTTTTAACTTTCCCTGTATTTCATTATCAGGTGGAGCTATTCAAAACTCTTAAATGGCTTGAGAAAAATAATAAATGTAGTTTAATAAAATGGTATTTCAGAAATTCGGTCTCTATGAACTTACAAAAGGGGGGAGGGGAGCATAACAAAGATTGTTGATTTGCATATGCAAATTAGAGTAATTTCATGTACACATAAGTGGCTAGATGTACAATTACCTAATTTATAAACATGAATGATGCAGGTGCTACATTAAAGGCACTTTCAGAAAATTGGCTTGTAACATCGTACTTTGTGCTACAAAATAACTGCTAATTACACCTTTTACCATAAGAAAGCCCAAATAAATTATTTTGTATGAATATATCCCAAGAGTGGCCCAAAAGGGGGTGATGTTACCCAGAGAGTCATGCTAACAAAGACCTCTAATGTGAAGGTACATGATGAAGCATGTGTGGGTAGGGGTGTATCTCAGCAGTAAGAGCCAGCCCTCATTACGAGTCTAGCACAGGGAGGGCTGCACCAGCCTACACAAACTCCAGCACAGTGACTTTGCACTGAGGCAAATCATTTCACTTCTGTTTCAATCCAGAATTGAAATCCTAGGTACACTAATTTCCCAGGTCTTGTTGAGCAGTCTATTTTTAGTTGTGATTTTTAATTTTTTCACATTCATTTGGCATAATTTTTCTCTTTCCTGTATTTTCCCTTTATTTTATTACTCTGTACGTGTTGAAGCATGAATAATATAGAAGAGTCTCTTGGGGAATTATTTCCTTCTTAGTTCTCTGCACATTCAGTTACAGATTAAGTGCTGTCCAGGTTTAGTAAAGGAACACTCCTTCCGGCCTCTGAAATTCCGGCGACACATCTGAGTGGAACTACATAATAAGAGAAAGGGTAGAAAGCTTTCTGCCATGTTTGCTGACTTGACATTTTACAGAATATCCATGGGGAGTTTTTGTTGTCCTGTAATATTCTAGATTTTCCTAGTGACATAGGCATGAGGGAGAACCGTGTTATTTTTTAAACCTACCCTTCATTTTGAGATAAGTGCCTTTCCCCTCTTTCCCCTGTAGCCACCACGTCTCTTAGCCAGTTTATAAGAGCTGGGTA